AAATTTAATCAAGGAAGTGGTAGATCTATGCACTGAGATCTATAAAACACTGAAGAAATTGAAGACGACATGCAAAAAAATGAAAAGATATTCTGTGTTCAAGGATCAGAATTAATATTGTTAAAATATCCACACAACCCACAGCAACATACAGATTCAGTGCAATCCCTATCAAAATCTCAATAGCATTCTTCACAGAAATAGAAAAGAACAGTCCTAAAATTTGTATGGAAACATGAAAGACTCCAAATAGCCAAATCGATCCTTAGAAAGAAAAACAAAGTTGGAGGCCTCACATTTCCTGATTAAAATTATATTACAAAGCTATAGTAATCAAAACTATATAGCAGAAAAACAGACANGTTTGCCAAACATAATTTTGCTTGAGAAATACTAATTTTTAAGAGAACCGCAACATCGAGATAACATTAGCTTTACTTTTAGGACTTAGTTTTTGATATTCATGGCCTTTTAAATCTTAGATTTTGGTGTAGGTGGAATGCATGAAAGGCAAAACATAAGGAATTATCATCTATATTTGTGTTGGAATAAAGAAAATTTAACACAAGAGATGCTATCAGGATGCATATCAGTACCAGGCTGTAAGTTTAGAGAAGAAACTTTAACTTTATATCCTTAAGTGAAACCACTGCCTCCAGTTGAGCAAAAGAGTCTGAGGGAGACAGGCTGTTTTATAATTGTCTTGGAATTATTAATCTGAGATTTGTTTTGTGTATTTTGAAGAATTAAATTTATTGAAGGAAACAACACATGGAGACATTGATTACATTAGGAATTTAATGTGTGGTTACAACACATTGACTTGAAGGTAAGAGTTTATGGATTTTAATTGTATGAGGGGCATTAGCAGCTTTGTTTCTTTGGAATTATATTATTGGAATTGCTGTATTGTTTAATCTGATGCTCATGGCAAAAGTGTCTGGCCACTTTGTCTTAAGAAATAAAATAAGGGGAAGTGACTTTTTGACAAAGTTAGCATTACTAAACTATGTACTGTAGAATCCTTGTGTTGTGGTATGANTGCTCAACATCATTAATCATGAGAGAAAGGCAAATCAAAACCACTATGAGATATCACTTTAAACCCGTTAGGATGGCTGTTATCAAAATGTCAAGTGATAACAAGTGTTGGGAAGACTGTAAAGCAAAGGGAACTCTCGCACACTGTTGGTAGAAATGTAGATTGGTGCAGCCACTATAGAAAACAGTATGGAGGTCCCTAAAGAAATTAAAAATATAGATACCATATAACACAGCAGTTCTTCTTTGGGGTATATACCCAAATAAAATGAAATCACCACCTCATAAAGGTATCTGCATTCTCATGGTCATTTCAGCGTTATTCTCAATAGCCAAGTAATGGACACAACCTAAGTGTCCATCTACAGAACAACAGACAAAGAAACTGTGGTGTGCATATATATAT